AGTTGAGACTGCCCTGGAACTCACTATGTAGCCCAGGCTGGTCTCAAACTCACAGCGATCCTCCTGCCTCAGCCTCCCGAGTGCTGCTGGGATTACAGGCGTGTGCCACCAGGCCTGGCTTTTATTCATTTTTTGAGATAGGGTCTCACTATGTAGTTCAGACTGGCTTTGAACACTCAATGGGTCCTAGGCTCCTGCCTCAGCCACAATGTTGGGATTACAGTCATGCACCACCACCCCAGCTGAAATTTTTCCTTTAACACATAGTAAATTAACAGAAAATGATCAGCTTATGCCCAGGTGCTCAGTCTAAGATACACAGTTATTGAGGTAATGCTATAAAAATCTGAAATCATAGAAAAATAGTATTTACATATGGGTGCTACAGTTGATCCTTTGGAGAATGTAGAGGGTTGGTTATTTTTGTAGTACTGAGGATTGAACTCAAAGCCTTTGGACTAAGGTATATATATCCCCAGCCCTTTTAATATGTATGTGAGGTGCTCAGTCTAAGATACACAGTTATTGAGGTAATGCTATAAAAATCTGAAATCATAGAAAAATAGTATTTACATATGGGTGCTACAGTTGATCCTTTGGAGAATGTAGAGGGTTGGTTATTTTTGTAGTACTGAGGATTGAACTCAAAGCCTTTGGACTAAGGTATATATATCCCCAGCCCTTTTAATATGTATGTGTGTAAGAGAATTACAATTAAAGGCATGTGTCACCATGTCTTGTAGAGGCAGAGATTTAAAGTTTATCAAACTTGTATCAGTAGCCTGACCCCAGATTAGACCCTATGACAGCCTCAGGCTTGTAGCTCCTTCCTGTTGTATAGCTGGTGGGCCCCTAATGAAAAACAAAACATGAAGAAGCCTATTTTAAGAGCCAGGTGTAGTGGCACGTGCCTGTGATCTCAGCACTCTGGAGACTGAGGCAGGAGGATTGCTACAAGTTTGAGACCAGCCTGAATTATCGAGTGAGACTTTGTATCAGAAAAAAAAGAAGCAGCAGCAGCCAGTTTAAATATGGTAGTATTTAAAGGCAATTTTTTTTTCACCACTAGTAAATATTTATTGAGTGCTAGGAGCAGACATTGGATCGGTTTTCTTAAGATGTTCCCTGCTTGAGCTAGTGTTTCCCACTTGAGATCTCTGGCCCCTAGTCTCCTGATCCTTCTATTTGTTTAGATTTTTGGTGTTGCTTTTAGCTATGCAGTTAAGCCTGACCCTGAACTCACTGTAGCTGAGACTGGCCTCGAACTTACAGTGATCCTCCTGTCTCGGCCTCCCGAGTGCTGGGCTTAGAGGCGTATGCCACCATGCCTGGCTCCTGCTGCTTCTAACTGGCCATTACTCTGTTGGATCCTATGTCATTTATGTATTTTTCTTTCTTGCTTGTAGTGGTTGGAGACCAGACCTAACAGACAGGTGTGTCCAGTTTGCAAAGCTGGCATCAGCCGAGACAAGGTGATCCCACTCTACGGCAGGGGAAGCACTGGGCAGCAAGACCCCAGGTGAGGACCTGGGATGCATCTCATATCCACTTCTTCCCTTGGATATGAATTCCCATCCTTTCACCACTCCCTGACTCCAGTCTTCCGTGGTGTCGATTACTCAGTTCTGAGGCAGCCTTATCCAAATGGGAGTCAATTGGGAAGGGTCATGTAGAGAAGGGAGGGAATCCCAGTTGCATTTGTCGGGCCATAACAGTACCCATAACGTGGCGTCTTCCAGCAGATGGGCTGCGTGCTGGTCCTGGGGAACCAGCGGTACACATTATAATCACAAGAGTGCAAGTATTGTTATAGACCACTTTTGCAGCCTGGGGAGCAGGCTGTATAGCAGAAGAGTCTCCAAGGAGTGGAGCTGCTGCAACAGTGATACGTAAATTCTAAGGGGAAAGGGAATGAGGGGACTGGGTGACTTTATGGAGTTTGGAATTTCTAGAAATGAAGATCTTAGCGGGTTTAGCATTTTGCCAGCACATGTACTGAGAGCTATTCATAGTCTGGGACCCTCAACTTCTCCAAAAATGTCTCTTCCCTTCTCCCATCCCATCCCAGCATGCCTTCTACCTGAAATAGAGTGGACTTTTATTAAATAGACTTGCCTTTTTACATTCCTCAGACTTTGTATTTGCTCTCTGCTCTGCCTCTTCTGTCTTCCCTAGGGCTGCTGATATCACCGTCCAATGTCCACCTCATCCTAACTTAACCCTATCTTTTATAATCAGCCCAAAAGTTACCACCGTACTCTGTTCATAATTTTCCACACTGCCTTGTAATTGTTCATATGCCCCTTGAAACTATCATTACCTCAAGAGTAGGATCTTTTAAGCCGGGTGTGGTGGTGCATGCCTATAATCCCAGCACTCGGGAGGCTGAGGCAGGAGGATCTCTATGAGTGCGAAACCAGCCTGGGCTACATTGTGAGTTCCAGGTCAGTCTCAACTACATAGTGAGACCCTGTCTCAAAAAACAAAAAAAAAACCAAACAAACAAAAAATGAGGATCTTTTGGGCTGGGTACTTAGCTCAGTGGTGCCAATGCCTGCCTCGCAAGCATGAGGTCCTGAGTTCAATCCCCGGTGCCAAAAAAAAAAAAAAGAGGGCTGGGGATTTAGCTCAGCGGTTCAGTGGCCTGCCTTTCAAGCGCAAGGACCTGAGTTCAATCCCCGGTACCAAAACAAAACAAAAGAGTAGGATCTATCACCAATCTTACTATTGGTAGCATCCTGTCTAGTGTCAGGTATGTAATAAGCCCTCAGCCTAGCATTTCTGAGATGATGATCAGAGAAGGTGAGACCCAGAGCCAAAAAGAATAGCTTGGAGTACTTGATCAAGTGTAATGACAGGCAAAGCTAAAGTTAATAGGGCAGATGGAAGAGACATCCTGGATTTCAACCCCCTCAGCCACCAGTCATCCTCTGTTTCAGTTTAGATTTGAGATTTCTGACATCCATAATTCCAGTATTACACAGGCACAGGGAAAGCAACTGGCCATCACTCATAACCAGTCTGGGCCAGTATTTCTGTGAGAAGTAGGCTGTAGTGCAATCTGATAAATATCTCATAACAAGCTGATTTTTTCCCTGGTTCTCTATACCGTGGTAGAAAGCATTTGCCGGTTGATTGAAGAGTTAGTATTTGGTTTAATTCAGCATTAGTTTATATGCTGGGCAGGAAAGGGGACCCTGATCCTCTTAGTAGAGTTTCCAGTTTCTACAAGAACAACTTAAGACATTTTGCAATGGACTAACTACACCATTTCTTTTTAGAGAGAAGACACCTCCTCGTCCTCAAGGCCAGAGGCCAGAGCCAGAGAATAGAGGGGTGAGAAACATTCTAGGAGAAGATTCTAGAAATGAGTCCATGGCTTTAGAAGTTTCCTGTTGTCCCTGTAGTTTTCTCCTTTATTATAGAAGTAAAGATATACTTGGAAAATACAGAAAGGAAAAAGATGACAGGATGGAATCACTATTGAGAGATTACCACTGGAAGCATTTTGATCTATTTTCCATTTTGCTTTTTTTTCCTTTTTTTTCTTTTTACTTTATAAAATAAAAAGAGTTGTTTGACTCATACCTATTTTTCTGTAATCTTTTGTTTGTTTTTTGAGACAGAGTGTGTTATGCAGTTCAGGCTGGCCCCAAACTCCTGCCTCAGCCTCCCAAATGCTGAGGTTACAGATGTGCACCACCACAACCAGCTTTATTGTTCTGTAATCTTATATACACACTGACTTTATTGACTTGTGTTTACATATTTTTTTCTTCAATATGTGCCTCCTATTTTGTAACTCTTAAAATTTCATTTACTCTACAAATAGTAAGCATCTTCTGTGTGCTGAGCATTCTAGGCAGTGGTGATTTATCAGTGAATAAAGTAAAGATCCTTGCCTCTTAAAGTTCACACTCTTAAAATGGAGAATTTCAACATAGCTTGAGTTTTTATTGACGATACATTGTCAGTAATATTTTTGTTTGTTTGTTTTTGAGGCAGGGTCTCCCATTGTAGTTCAGGCTGGCCCTAAACTCACTGTGTAGCCCAGGCTGGTCTCAAAATTGTGATGATCTTCCTCCCTTAGCCTCCTGACTGCTGGGATTACAGGAGTGGCCATGCCTGGCTTCCTGTCAGTAATATTTTATTTAGTGACTGTTTAGTGTATGGATTTAATTTATTTCATCCTTTGTTAGTCTTCGCTGTTTCCTTTTTTGTGTTTTGTTTTTTGAGATTGGGTCATGCTATGCTTTTTAAACTCACTGTGTATCCCAGGCTGGCCTCAAATTCAAGTGATCCTCTCACCTCAGCCTCCCAGCTACTAGCTTTTTTTGTACTTTAAAAATAACTTTGATGAACTCTTGAGCAGATTCACCATTTTATTAGGATAAATTCTTAAATTATTGGCTAAAATTTGCATATTCAAATCAGATATTAATCTTTAAAAACCAGTTTTTTAGCTGGGTGTGGTAACACATGCTTGCAATCCCAGGGCTTGGGAAGCTGAGGCAGACAATTGCAAATTAGAGGGCAGCCTGCTCTATCATAGCAAGACTGTCTCAAAACAAGTCAAACAGCACTTAGCTTGATGTGGTGGTAAATAACTGTAATTCAGCATTAAACATGGGGATCACATATTTGAGCCCAACTTGGGCAGTTTAGCAACTTAACAAGACCTGTCTCAAAAAAAATTTTTTTTTAAAGGCTAAGGATATAGCTCAGTACAGAGGCTCTGGGGTTTAATTCATTACCACACTAAAATTAATACCACACAAAAAAATAAAATCAAGACAGGCCAGAACTACATAGAAAGGCCCTGTCTCAAAGGAAAAAGCAAACAACAAAAAAGTGTTGGTTTTTTTGGGGTTTTTTTTGGGTTTTTTTTGGTACTGGGGATCGAACTCGGGACCTTGTTCTCATGAGGCAGTTGGCAGAACCACTCCAATAAACCACTGCAATAAATCTCCGGCCCTAAATAAGATAATTTCTTGTTAAAATGTTGAAGAAATTTAAAAATATTTACCCAGACTTCTAGAATCCTACAACAAAATATATTCTCATTTCTCTTTGTTCATCTACATGTCATGTATTTGTTTTTACAATTTTCAAATTTTTGTTTTGTTTGGGTGGTAACAAAACTTTGAAACCAATGCATTTATACTGAGTTACATCCCCAGCTTCTTTTTTTATTTTTTATTTTAAAAGAGGATCTTGCTAAAGTTTATGCGAAGTTGTCCAGGGTGAGCTTGAATTTGTGACCCTCTTGGCTCAGCCTCCCAAAGTATTTGGATTACAGGGCATGTATTCATATTTCTACATAGTCATCACCATACTTTTTTTTTTTTTTTTTTTTTTTTGAGACAGGGTCTCACTATGTAGTTGAGACTGACCTGGAACTCACTGTGTAGCCCAGGCTGGTCTCGAACTCACAGCGATCTTGGTGTCTCACTCTCCCAAGTGCTGGGATTACAGGCGTGCGCCACCATGGCCAGCATAGTCATCACCATTCTGTTTGCTGCTTTCAAATTTAATTTTGGCAATATTTTCTGTGATACTCTGAAGTGTCCCTTTTTTAATTTTCTTTTTTTTCGGGGAGGGTTTGCTATGTAGTGAGACTGACTTGGAACTCACTATATAGCTCAGGCTGGTCTCGAACTCACAGTGATCTTCCTATCTCAGCCTCCTGAGTGCTGGGATTACAGGCATGTGCCACCACACCCAGCTTTTTTTTTTTATTTTCAAAGGCTGCTATTCCATCGAAATTGTATGTATTATAATTTAGATTTTCCTCATTGAAGGACCTTTTTTTTAAAAAATAGAGTCTTGCTATGTAGTTAAGGCTGATTTTAAATCCACTGTGTAGTCTAGGCTGGCCTTGATTGAACTCTCCTGCCTCAGCCTCCCAAGTGCTGGGATTATAGGCGCAAGATGTCACACCCAGCTGAAAGACTTTTAGTTGCTTTCAGATTTTGCTCCTTAAATAATGCTATAGCGATGGGCTGAGGATTTAGCTCAGTGTACTATGCGTACTTGGCAAGCCCTAGGTCCTGAGTTCAATTTGAGATACCAAAAAAAAAAAAAAGAAATACTATCACAACAATCTTTGCATATATTTTTTTCCTTATTTGAATTATGTTATTCTTAGAATTCCCAGTAATAGGGTTTTTTTGTTTGTTTGTTTATTTTTTTTTTGTATCAGGGATTGAATTCAGGACCTTTCACTTTCTAGTCAGACACTGCCTGCATCCCCAGCCAGCATTAAGATTATTAAATTAGGGATCTTAATAGAAATTGAGAGCCTCTTCTCCAAATTTTCCTTACTAGCATTAGCATTGGACCTTTGTTGAGTGGTTCTTCTACGTAAAGAACTATTTTAAGAGCGCTATGCACATGATCGATTTTATTTAAACATCACATCAACTCAACAGAAGAGGAAATTGAACCCCAGATTGGTGAGATGTCCAGATTCATAGTGCTGAAACCTAGATCTGGCTAATATTGAAGTCTTGAGTACTAGGCAGCAATTACTGAACTTGTCAAGCTCTGGTTTTGCTTGGAGCACTGGCAATTAATAGAAATTAGAGGGCCAGGGATTTAGCTCAGCAGCATAGCACCTGCTTGGCAAGCGCAAGTAAAATCCCTGGTACCAAAAAAAAAAAAAAAAAAAAAAAAAAAAAAAAAAAATAAAAACCCGAAAACAAAAAAAAAAAAAAAAAAAAGAAAAGAAAAAGAAAAATTAGAAATTAGAGGCCCTAGGAAAGCAGAGGCCCTGGTCTAATGAATAGGAGACACACCTCTAGTTTTCATAAGCACCTACAGCCGCTAGTGATACTTTGCATACTCTGCTCCAGAAACACCAAATGTGAGGATTTGTGGGATTATAGTGATGTTTCTGAGAAGGAAGCAAGAGGTCAGTCTCCTTAGAATGGAACTGAATGAAACTCTGGCTCCTGATGAAACAATTGTGCCTTTCCTAATAAGGCAGCTCCAGTCCCAAGAGCCCTCAGACTCAGCCATGCTGGATCTGAGCAGGAAGAATTTCTGTACTGAGGACGTGGAAACCGGTTGTTTTTCTTCCCTATAGGTTTGCCTTCTTACTATAAAGCTTTATACATTGTGTGCCCAGCAAGAAGTACGAACCAGATGCTAGGCTGCTCACCATGGGAGTGGGAGCAGCCACTTATAAAAGATTCGCAAATGTCAGCTCTTGTGGAGAACAGTTGGCTTGATGTTTTTTCTTGCTTTTATTATTTATTTTGTTATTTTCTCTAAAGATCTCGCAGGGGTGCAGGGTAAGAAAAAAAAAATGTTAAGATGTGCATAGTGATAAAGAGCATGGAGGGCGGGGCTTTAGCTCAGTGGTGCCACCACCTGCCTAGCAAATGCAAGATCCCAGGTTTGATCCCTGATACCAGAAAAACATACGCCTGTAATTCCAGCACTCTGGAGGCTGAGGCAGTAGAATTGCAAGTCCAAGGCCAGCCTGGGGAACAAAATAAGACCCTGTCTCCAAAAGCAGATTTTCAGATCAGATGGATCCGTTTGTTTATTTTTCAGTACTACTGGCGGTAGAAAACCCAGGGCCATAGGACACTGTCATTGGCAGAAATGTACTAATAATACGGGATAAGATATTTTCCTGTTTTCTTTATTTTAATGGTTGATTACATATACATTTGTAAAATTATTTTTAAAATAATATTTTACAGTTTTTCCATTTTCACATTTCATGAAAGTTCTGATTAAACTTTTCTTATAGCTGATTCCTATCAAAAGAAAAACCCCAGGGCCTTCACTCTAAGCTACATCCCCACCCCTTTTTAATTTTTAATTTTATTTATTTATTCATTCATTCATTTATTTTTGGTACCGGGAATTAAATTCAGGACCTTATGCTTATGAGACAGGCACAGTGCCACTGAGCTAAATCCCCCAGCCCTTTTTAAATTTTTTTTTTCCCCTGAGACAGGGTCTTGTTAAAAGGCAAAGTTGCCCAGTCTGACCTTAAACTTGCAGTCCCCCTGCCTCAGCTGCCCATAATACTGAGATTATAGGCATGTGCCGCTTACCCTAGGTTTAGAATAAAACATTAACCTCTTGGTCAATTTATTTTACTCTTCCAATCATGAGTTTAGTCATGTGTAAAATGCACGTGACGATAATACAAGTACTAAACATTATTTGCTTATTAGCTCAGTGTTTAACACTGTGCCAGGGGTCAGAGTCAGAGTTTTTTGTTTTGTTTTGTTTTGTTTTTTAAGACAGGGTCCCACTGTGTAGTTTATGCTGAGCTTGAACTTACTATGTAGCCCAGGCTGGCCTTAAATTCCTAGTGATCCTCCTGCCTCGGCCTCCTGAGTGCTAGGAATACAGGCGTTGTCCATAACACCCAGCTGGAATTACTTATTCAAAATATTATTGTTCTTACTGATTCTTTTTATGTGAAAGATGATGTGGTGAAACATGCAGGAAAAAAACTGAGGATGATTTACCAAACTGCTGACTGGTTATTTGGAAGTTCTGGAGTGTGGATGTGAGATCAGAGGGTGAATAAGGAAATCTTTGACTTTCTTTCTTAGTTACTTTTATGTTTTTGTTTTTGTTTGTTTGTTGATTGGTTGGTACCGGCTATCGAACTGAGGTCTTTGTGCTTGCAAGGCAGGCACTGGAACCACTGAGCTAAATCCCCGGCCCTCGTAGTTATTTTTATAGTATGTGAATTTCTTATAAGAGGCATATATTTTATAATAAATTATAGTGTTTTATATTTTTAAAGCTATATAACAAAGCTGGGTGTTGTGTGACTGTATAATTTCAGCACTCAGGAGGCTGAGGCAGGAGGTTTGCAGCAAGTTTTAGGCATGCCTAGGCTACATAGTGAGCTCAGGGCAAGCCTGAACTGCATAGTGAGACCCTGCAAAAAATAAAAAATAAAACCTGGGGCTGTAACTCAGTGGCACTGTGCCTGCCTGGCAAGTGGAAGGTCTTAAATTCAATCCCTGGTACCCAAAAAAATAGAAGTAAAATAAAAGTCTTTGTAACAATAGTGAAAAAAGATAGTTCAAAAATATGTATCCATATCTTGTCCACATATTTATATGTTGTCATAGACTTGGGTTTTTTTGTCTGTTTTGGTTGTTTTGGTTTTAGAGTTTTTTTGTTTGGTTTTTCGAGACAGGGTCCTGCTGTGTAGTTTAGGCTGACCTGAAACTTGCAGCAGTCTTCCTACCTCAGCCTCTCAAGGAGTGGGATTACAGATGTGCTACCATACCTGGCTACTGTTGTCATATACTTGTGATGAGGGTATTCGAATAGTTTTGTCTGATAATTTGATCTCAAGAGTTTTTATTTTGTTACATTAGGTCAGCATAATGGTCTTTGGAGAGCATGTTATCAATATTATTATCATGACTTCCATTGTTGGCCAGCTAGAGTTTCACCTTTTTTGCTCTTGTGGATATGTATAGTTTATTTTGATGCTCCCTTATAATTGGGCATGGGAGTCATTGCAGTTGTGTGTTATAAAGCATCTAGGAAATTTTACTGGCTAATGTGAGAACAGAACCTCAAGCCTTATAATCCTGACTTTCATGAGCAGTATTTCAACTGTTGGACAGAGGTTGTCCTTTTTTCTCTGTTCACAGCTCTGGCTCGGAGCTAAGACTAGAAGGGCAGAGGGTCCTTCAGAGGTCCTCTGCCTTGGGGCCTAAATGGGAGGAAAAGCGAACCCCCACACCTGAAACAGGTGGCAGAGGATAGAAAAGCAAGGTGGGTACCACATGCAATATGATACATAAGGTGTATATGTTAAATTGGGTGTGGTGGCACACACTTGAAATCTCAAATACTCAGGAGGCTGAGGCAGGAGGATCACAAATTGGAGCTTAGCCTGGGCTACTTAATACTTAGGAAGACCCTATCTTAAAATAATTAAAATAAAAAGTGTTGAGAATATAGATTAGGGATAGAGCGCACACACAGAGAAAGTGTCAAGTTTGCCAGGTTTGGGGGAAACACTTATTTTTCCTCTTTTTTGCATTTCTTTCACACAGGGATTTCAAGGATTTGGATTTGGAGATGGTGGCTTCCAGATGTCTTTTGGAATTGGGGCATTTCCCTTTGGTATATTTGCCACAGCATTTAACATAAATGATGGGCGGCCTCCTCCAGGTAAGCCCTATTTTCTTGAGAAATCAGGAAGATATTTGAGTAATCCTGTTTGAAAACTCCTTGGAATTCAGCAGTATATAATTTACAGATAATTGTTGCTACACAGATAATCAACCTTTCCAAAATGTCGTTTGTTTGTTTGTTTGAGACAAGGTCTCACTATGCAGTTCAGGTTGGCCTTGAACTCACTATGCAGGCCAAGCTGTCCTCAAACTCATGAAGATCCTCCTGCCTCAGCCTCCCAAGTTCAAGAATTACAGGCATGCACCACCACACCCGGCTAAAATGTCTTAAACCTCTTTTCAGATTACTGGTACATTGAGCAATTATAAGGTCTTAGGCACATGTTGGATGTTTTCCATTCCAAACTGAAGAAATCACAGCCACCCTGTGTAAGATTTTTTTTTGGTACCGGGGATCGAACTTGGGCCCTTGCAATTGCAAGACAGGCAGCGAAGCCACTGAGCTAAATCCCCAGCCCACAACCACCCTGTGGACGCATATGCATTTGGCTCTTGTTTTACAGATCAGAAAATACTTAGTAGCTTATCTGAGACATGTTGTATATCTATGAAAAAAGCTGTAACTGATACTGGCTGAAGAAAAGCCTAGATCTTCACATGTGCACTGCCCCCCAGTTTGACCATTTTGGGACAGAGAGGGGTGAGGTGACTCACAAGGAGTCAGGGCCTCTCCATTCTGTGGCATCTGTTAGCTTCCTTTAGGACACAGTATGGGCTGATCCCAAGCCCCAGCCACTTGGCAACCATGCTTAAATGTCTGCCACCTGCTGCTGCATTGCTCTCTCCAGCTGCATTCAGAGGAGAGCAGGGCAATGGGGAACGTTCCCTGGACTCTTATCACACTGTAGCCCTCACGCCAAGGTCTGTACTGCACAGCCTGTAAAGATGCGCTGGTCGGTTGAACTCTGCTTGCCCTCATTGGAGCCTCATGTGCCCTGGGCTTGGTGTGGGTTACAGAAGTGGACAGGATGTGAGTCTGGTCAGAAGCTTATGTTCTAGAAAGGGTAATCTGCTCAGAGGTTATCTCAGTTGTTCTCTGTCCCACCTCAGTCCTTAGCATGTCATAAGCAACTGTTAAGTCTGCCTTCCTGAATGAATTCATCAAAGGACCCAACAGAGACTGCAGTATAGCACCGAGAGATACTGGGAGCACCCTCTCTCACCAAATTTTCTACCTGGAAAATTTCTCCTATGTTTACATGTTGCTTTTCCAGAGGAGACTGTAAAGGACAGGATGCACTCTACCCTAAAGGAAGGACAGATCCCTGCAGAGGCAACAAAAACTTGTTTGGTGGCTTGCTTCCATCTAGTCTGGTCCAAGGCTTGCCCTAGATTTCCCATTTAGTCCCACAGCCAGGCTACCCTCTTGGGTCTTCCTTTTTCCCCCCGCTGTAACAATCACAGTTTTTCTTTGTAGTGTTTGGTACAGTACATCCCGGATGTGGTTTCTCTTACCCTCGTTCCCTCAAACTCAGAACAGGGAGCTGTAAAAGATAGCTTTTCTCAATGCAGAGACGAGTGGAGATTTTGTTTTACTTCTTCCTTGTTATGAGATATCTGAGCCCTCGTTTTCTCCTGGAAAAGGAAGGCGTGGAGAACTTGGGACACTGTGTGGAGAGGCAAGAGAAGGCCCTCTGCGTCTCTGCCACTGCTTCAGGACCCTGGGCACCTCAACAGATCACATACATACTGCTGCATAAAAAAAAATTGGGGGCTTGGGATTTAGCTCAGTTGTTTCACCGCCTGCCTTGCAAGCGCAGGGACTCGTGTTGGATCCCCAGTACCAAAAAAAAATTTGGAAAACTATCTACCAGTTAATATTGTATACAAAACAGCACAGAGAAGATACATAACCAACAATAGCTTTTCTTTTACTGTTTCGTACTAATCAATTTATCTCTTTGCATGTGTCAGCCAGGATATAGCCTTTCAGGATAAATTGGAGACCTTTTCCTCATTGTTACATTGTTCCACACATTTTTGTTTTGCCTCCTATTATTTGAATTTTGGAAATCTTTTTAGTGTACAAATTTAGAAATGAAGATTAATACTCTTAGCTTTCTTCATAGCTGCAACCTCCTGACATTTTCTCCTTCCTGCCTCTCTAGCTGTCCCTGGGACACCTCAGTATGCAGATGAGCAGTTCCTGTCACGCCTCTTCCTGTTTGTGGCCCTCGTGATCATGTTCTGGCTCCTGATCGCCTAATACTGGGCTTCTCTCTGCACCTGCAGCAGAGTCTCTGGACTGGTGATGTGCAACCCGCGAGCCTGGTATTTGGCTTCCTGGATAATTCTGACCATAGCAGTCAGTGGGGTCAATAACACTTCAAGGAGTCCAGTTTCTCCTGTAGAGCTTTGGAACTCAACAATGAGTTGGTGAGGAGCCCCAACTATCGCCACTACTGTAAACACCCTTCTGTAACCTCATGCTCTGGTGTTGAGTTCTCTGTCATGGATGGCAGCATGAATCCTGTTCCAGCCAGTTCAGGTCCTGACTGCACAGGAAGGAGGTGGGAAGAAAATTTCACCTGAGTTTTATATCACAGAAACAAAGGATAAACCAAGTGGTATTTACAGAAACTTACTTTCATGTCTTTAAATACCCCTTGGTAACTGGCCTCTGTAGCCAGTGGGGCTCCTCATACAGAGCTTCCCCTTCCAGATCCCCTGTCTTCACTGTCACATTGTTCCACATATTTTTTGTCTTGCCTCCTGTTATTTAGGTTTTGGCAAGCTTTTTAGTGTAGAGGATTCTATTGTAAAGAAATGAAGTGCTGCTCTGTCCTCTTTCCTCCCCTCCTCTTAACAGAGACCCAAAATATTGCTATCCCAGGAAGATCATTAATTACAGCAGCTAAGCCACTTCATTAATTCACCAGAGACCCAAAGATCGTTTATTGGCTCTGGGCCTTGGTCCCGGAGAGCAGCTTGAATGACCTGGTTTCCTGGTATAGATTATCTTTGGTAAGACTTGTGACTTCACTCACAGATTTCCTATCAGCTTTCACCTCAAAACTATGTTCATCTGCCATCTCCCCCAGAGGGCAACTGTCATAGCGACTGCCTGCTGTGCATTAGGAAAGATCTGGATTTGGGCCCTCAGTGGGATTCAGAGCTCTGGTACAGGAACAGCTGAACAAGTAGCCCTGTCCCTTACGCTGCAGAAACTCTTGAATTTCTTGCCCAGAGGAAGCTGGAGGTTTCCCAGCTGCATGTGGAAGACCACCATCCTCAGAAGCCAAGTTGTCTATTATGAAGACACAGGGGGATGACTCACCTGTGACTCTGCTTTTGGTATGGTTTGATAGAGTCCCCCCAAAACCCCTTGTATGTGTGCTAAAATTGGGGAAGTGTGTGACACCTGAGCAGGCAACCCTGGATAGTTTGTAAAGTCAGACAGCAGGCCCGGTACACCTCAGCACAATAATACGTTGTAGTCTCACTTCCTGTGTAATTCAAGGGAAGTTATTCCTCCCAAGCTCTTGATTTCTTTTTCGATTTTATAAGCTTCATCCTCACTGCAAGAGTGTAGTGCCAGGCGGATAGACAGTTCACCTGGTGGGAAGGTTCTTGCTTGGCCTGCAAGGCTTCACCCTAGAAGCCCACTTTCTTCCTGGAGACCTCCATGGTGAGGGGAGATGGACTTCTGCTAGGGATGTCTTGCTCACTTTGCCAATCCACACCATTCCTGGCTCATCCCCAGCATAGTCAATAAATAATAGAAGGCCCCAGCTTTCCCTTTTCCTTTGTACCTGCTAATACCAGAGTTCAGTGTTTAAAAAATATATAAAGTATTGAATAGGTGGTTGGTTTGCTGAATCCAATTTGTAAGAATAAGCCACCAGCTTTATAGTGTGCCTGATGGATTTTAAACGTTGGGCCACCTCAAGAGTACTTTTTTTTTTTGGCACCGGGGATCAAACTCGGGACCTTGTGTTTTTTGAGGCAGGCAGCGGAACCAGTGAGATAAATCCCCGTCCCCTAGAGTACTCTTTTTATCAGCTTCTGGGCCCAAAGTCACAGAGGCCCCCTGGATTGTCTTGGCTGTGATGTTACTCCAGCTCAGTGGCCCAACTAGTGGAGGGAGAGTTAACTTCAGCCAGTTGAGCCCAGAAAGACTAAGAAAGAGTTGTGGGTAGGAAGACATATCATTTGTAATATTTAATGAAATGAGGCCAGGAGAGCCCCACCAGCAAAAGCATCCCAAGAATTTGTTAGCAAAGCCAAATTGGCCATGTGCCCCGATTGTGAACTTTGTAGGTCCCCACTCACCCAGCCTCTGGAGCAGGAGAGCCAACTTGGGATTGCTGGCCCAGCCCTAATGGAGTCTCCTTCCCTTGCCCTTCTGCAGGCTCCTCACTCCTCTGCCAAGGCTGCTTACCTTTCTTTTGTGTTTTCTCTGCCTCCACCCTCTGCCACTTCCGTGGACTCAGATCAGGTCCTAACCACAGTCAGGAAAGGGCACAGCAGCACACCTTGACCAGTCACTAATTTTCACTGTTGTGAAAGTGTTTTGATCTAGAATTAAATAAATGGTTTTACATTACTGTGGATTTGGAGTTTGTGTCTGTATCTTGGAAGGTGAACAGGCTGGGAGCGGTCACACTGTTCTGGCCCCTAGGAAGCACCTGTGTGGCCTTGGTAATGTTCTCGGTAATTGAGAATGAAAATCTTCAAACAGTCATTGATAATTAAAGATGAGAAGTATGGGCTGGAGGTCTGACTTCCTATATAACCCTACCCAGGGCTGGGAATTTAGCTCAGTGGTTCCGCCACCTGCCTTGCAAGCGCAAGGTCCCGAGTGGATCCCCAGTACCAAAAACAAACAAAACAAAATAACCCTACCCAAGTTGTGACCTGTCTGACAGGCAGCCCTAGTCCTTATAAGTACATGGAATTTCTAAATTTGCAAACAACATAATGCCCTGTAGGGCCTTTAGTGCAAGCACAGGTTATTCTGTGTCAGATATCTCCATATACAATGACAGGGCAGGCAGGCCCTCAGCCAAGTCTTCTTCCTGGAGCTGGGGGTGTGCCCCTCCCTAAGGGGCCTCAGTAACAAGGTGTGGTGGGGGATGGAAACTATTGACCTGGTTATCAATCTGGCCCTGCTGCAGGCTCTCAAACACAGTGAGAGCTCCAGTTTGTCTTTTTGGGGGTTTTTTGTTGTTGGTGGTGATTTTTGGGGGGTTTTTTTTGGTATCGGGGATCGAACTCAGGTTCTTGTACTTGTGAGGCAGACAGCGGAACCACTGAGCTAAATCCCCAGCCCTACAGATTGTCTTCTGAAAAAAGTATTTCTTTCTCTTCTGACCTGAGTGTCAGCAAATTCAAAGTGCCAGTGTACAGTGGGAAATACAGAGAAAGAGAAGTTTAGGATCTTGTGTGAGACTAATAAGGAAAGAACAGAATGTTTTTGTTTTCAGTGGAAAACAAAAATGCAATGGTAGAATAGAAACTTCCAGTCATTCAACCCTAATAACCATCAACTCAAGTCTGGTCCTGTTGCCTCTACACCACCCTAACTCTGCTCACTCAGCCTTACCTGGACTGTTTTAAATAAATCCTAGTCATGTGCTATCTGTTAAGAATTTCAGTATGGATCTCAAAGATAAAGATTTGTACCTGCCTTGTAAGTACAAGGACATGAGTTTGATCCCTAGTACCAAAAAAAAAAAAAAAGTTTGTAAAAGCTGAGATGCTGTAATAACTAAGATGCTGTTTACTTTTTAAAAATTTAACAGGGCTGAGGATTTAGCAAGTGCAAGGTCCTGAGTTTGATCCTTGGTACAAAAAAAAAAATAATAATAACAGTAAGATGGATGTGTTGGTACACTCCCATAATTCTGGCACTCTGGAAGGCTGAGGCAGGAGGATCCCAGATTCAAGCCAAGCCTGGGCAACTTAGCAGGACCTTGTCTCAAATTTAAGAAATAACTGGGAATAGGGAAGGGTGGAGATGGTGAAGGGAGAACAGGAGTATGGGGAATAAATACCCAAGATACATCGTGTAAAAATACAAAATCCCAATAATGTAACTGTACCATATACCTAAAAAGTACCAGTAAACTTAATGAAAAAACTGGAGATATAGCTCAGTGCAAAGACTTTGGGTTCAATCCCCAGTACAAAACAAAACAAAACAAAACAAAAAACAACTTTAATAAACATCTATTGTTCAAATTTCCCTAGTTGTCTCAACATTTTACCTCGTTTGCTTGACGTGAGGTCTGAATCAACTCCATGAGTAGTTTCTCTCAAGTTTCTTTTCCTTAGAGATAGTTTTAAAGAAACCAGGCCATTTGAGCTCTTCTTTCCCACCACCCCTCAATCCTGCTATTTGTATTAACACTGTTATTTAACCAACTTCTCATACCTATGTATTTCCTATAATTATAAGAAATTAGGTGTTACAGCTAAATGCTTGACCAGATTCAAGCTTGACATTTTTTTACGAGACCATATATGTTTAAGTGAAGGGCTGGGATTTAGCTCAATGGTGCTGCTGCCTACCTCAAAAGCACAGGGTCCCGAGTTCTAAACCCAGTACCAAAAAAAATTTTTTTTTAAAGTGATAGTATAAATTCGTTACCATCTTATCAGGAGGCATATGATGTCTTGTACCTCTTTGTGATATTAGCACCCTTTAATGATAGCACTGTCCCATAGAACTTTAGGCAGTGATGGAGACAGTCTCTGTAGGTACTAACCAACACAGCAGCCAGTAGCCATATGTATATCACACACATGACGTGTGGCTAATCAACTGAGGAACTGCATTTTTCCATAGTTCCCTTTTTTTCTCCCATCTTAATTTTTTTTGTGTGGGGGTGGGTGGTTATTGGGGATTAAACTTGGGACCTTGCACTTGTGAGGCAGGTGGCAGAACCGCTGAGCTAAATCCCCAGGCCCTTCCCATCTTAATTTTTTGACACAAGGTCTCACTGTGTTCAAGACTAAACTTCAACTTCCTTGGTAGCCAGACTGGCCTTGAACTCACAGTCCTCCTGCCTTAGACTCCCAGAGTGCTAGGATTACAGATATGCATGTGCCACAATGCCTGACTGACCCATCTTTTTTTTTGGTACTGGGGTGCAAACTCAGGACCTTGTATTTGCCAGGCAGACAGGGTGCCACTGAGCTAAATCCCCGGCCCTTGATTTACCCATCTTAATAGCCACATGTGGCTATCATGCTAGACACTTTAGACTTAGATTAATTCAAAGGATTTGAAAAATAATACAATTGGAAACTTACTTTGAGGGGGGAGTACTGGGGACCGAACTCAGGACCTTGCATTTGCGAGGCAGGCGGCAGAACTACCGAGCTAAATCTCCAGTCCTGGAAGTTAGTTTTTAGAGAGGAGACTGCATTTCTGGGCAAAATGGGGCAGTAAAATTATAGAGAATGTGGGGAACTAGAGGTTGGAGGAGCAACAAGGCAGAGTGTGCCTGGAAAAAAGAGTCCCCCAGTAGAGGGAGTAAGGAGAAAAGTCTGCAGAGTGATATGTAGTTAGCTTATGAGGCCTTGGTTTGCCCTTTATTTTGTAGGCAGTAGGGGGCTATTGAAGGTTTTTAAGCAGTGAACTGACAGGATGCAAAACATTTTTGGACGATCAGTCCATTTTAGGCAAGATGACTCAGAAAGGAGAGAATAAAAGCCAGACACTGATTGAGTTTGAAGCAAATGGACGTAATAGGGAAGACCCAGAAGGGTACCTGTAGCCCAGTATCCTCAGGATGACAGGACCTTGAGGCGCTTTTCTTGTAAGTCACACCCCTGCCTTCAAACTTCTAGGCTTGGTACTGGTGTATTCCACCACCCTTGGTAAGAAGTGACCTTTAAGGTGCTAGGCTCAGATAATTGTCAATCAGCCAGAAGGATCTGGCCTTGGACACTCACTGACCAAGCTATGGTCCGCTAAATAAATGGGCAAGTGACAGGTGCTGGAATCCCAGTGAATGCACCGCCTGCCCAGGCTCTTCCTACCCTCCAGAAGTCCCTCTCGAGTTAAGTGACCTTGGAGTACAGTATTCAGTCTGCATTGCATGTTATCTCTTGGTTATGTAATTTCTGCAGATAGCGATTCCTTCCCTTTACATTTCAACTTGCATTTTCTGAGTAACCTGAACTTCCCCGAGGGCAACTTGGGGGTTGGCCTCACCTGCTCCCGCTGAATGAACAGCATGAAGCTGCAGGTGGGGAAGAAGCGGAATGAGGGGCAGGGAGGGGAAGAGAGATGTATGCCTGGCTGTGGAACAGAGACGGGATACATTAGTGGGTCTTCCTTCCAAGGCTACTGATGTCTCCAATGCCTGGGAAGATGTAATTTCTTCCCATGGGTAGGGTAGGTAAAATCTCTGTTCCTTTTTTGGTAGCCATGAAGTGGTTTGTCAGAAGAGTCCCATGGATTCCTGGATTTTTGTTACTTTAATTCAGTACATCATCTTTATTTATTATTTTTTTATTTTTTGGTACCAGGGATTGAACTCGGGACCTTGTGCTTGTGAGGCAGGCAGCAGCAGCACCGAGCTAAATCCCCAGCCCTTCAGCACACAGTCTTGTATTTACTATAATCAGAGGTTTCCTCAGAAATCATAAACGTGGAAGACGGTTCCCAGGAGGTAAGGAAAGTCAGGCACAGCCCTCCTTCCCAGCACCTTGTGCACACTCAGAATACCAGGAACCACCTGCTACACCCAGAGGGGGAAAATCTGACCAAAGTGATCAGCACCCTGTTTGACTTAGGGCAAGAAGAAAGAATTGTCCTGGTTGGGGGAGGAGATTGGGCTCTTCCGAGTGATGACCACTCCTGCCCTAACCCTGACCCCAGTCTTCACTCATCTTCACTTATCCCAGTGCTGAAACTAGCAGCAGCGAGGCTGAACTTTGTGGCAGGAGTAGTGGCTGGGGAGAAGGGATCCATTTTCCTGGGCATTATCCCTGCTTGGTCATTTGGACACTTCTATGACCTAAATCTGATCTAGAGAAACAACAGTTGCCAAAGAGCCACTGTAGGAGAATCAGGTGGGAGGAACATCAGGGACTGACAGGCAGCCTGTCATCGCTCGGAAGACCCCAATCTCGCAAAACCAGGAATGTCTCCTGTTCTAACTCTATGATGTCTTAGTCCTTCCTGTGGAAGATTCTAAACTGGTAGCC